ACCGACCCAAACTGTTGCTTTTGGATAAAGAGATATAAATTTTACACTAAAACCACTTGACCCACAGGTCTCGAGTTATCCTTTTGAGTTATTATTAGTATTATTTTTTAATGAGAGTTATCTTTAGATTCTATACTAGCCACCCCAACAATTTGGGCTAAGGAGCCGAAAACGTCTTAAGCCCAAAACCTAAAAAGATCCGTAACGTCGGCCTAAGAGGCTAAGCCCAACCTTCATTAAAAAAAAAAAATTAAGAGGAGTAGAGTAGTAATAATAAAGGAGGGTGTTTCAGAAACTTAAGCAGTTAACAATTGCTCGTTTTCCACGTGTAACGTGTTGCTTGGTTATTGCGTAAAGTAAGATAAGGAGCAAGGCATTGAAAAATAACAGACGCTTGACCTCAAGTCAACGAATGTACTGCTACTACTGTACTGGTAACTTGGTAAGAACTAAGAACCGCAGATGGATTGTTCTTGTACTGAAGCGCCTCCTCATTCTGCACCAAAACCGGTATTTTTACTTCCAATCTCCTTTCCAAGTTTATGTTTCAGTTTTTATTTATGCACTAAAATCCAAAATAATTGTCTTCAGACATTACTAATCCCATGATTTCTTACAATCTAGAATATCAAAATTTTCTCCTGTTTTATCATTTGGGTTTTATTCATGATGAATTAGGGATTATGATATAGAAATTTGTAGAGAATTGTATCAATTCTGTTCTGTCTATATTGTTCTTTTACTCTTTCCTAAAATTAGAAGGAGCAATTTTTGTTCATATTTTTATTAATTGGGTTTATCCTGGATGAATTAGGGTTTTTGATTTAGAAAGTCATTGTGGGATTTATCCAGGATGAATTGGGGCTTGTGATATATGTCTTAACTGAAAAAGGAAAATTCTGAGTTGAGTAATAAATACTTAGACATGGTAAAAGGATTTCCTTTTTATTCTCCAGCTTTGCCCTTTTGGTATAAAATAGGTGTAGTAAAACAGAAGCATGTTTCTGTGGAAATTGATTTCCAACGTGCCAGATGCCCTGATGTGTGCATAGGAATCCTCTTCAGAAACTGTATGCCAGCACCTGAGAACACTTTGCGTAAAATTTCTATTCAGGTACTGCAGGTGCAGTATAGAGCAGTAGACTGGCTTGTACATATTGTAATGTATGTAATAGGTGAAGCCAACTCATTTTATGGGGGCATATGGAATTTTATAGAAGGATATTGTGAAAATAAGAACTTCTTCGGGAGAGGTATTACCTTAGTCGTAGTTGGATGTTTTATAATATTGTCTCATCACATGGTCTATATATTTTCTCAAGCAAAATTCTTGACTGAGGACTTAATGTCTTGAAGCTATTTTGCCACAGAAATCAGGATTGCAGTTTTATATATAAAGTTTAGTGACTTACAATATAAGCAGCCAAAATTTATGTTTAATGTTAATGAATTATGGTGTTATTTATCCTGGAACGCTGCTGATCATGATCATCTTGCTTGGTTACAGAAAACAGAGTCAGTAGATGGAAATTTCTCGATGGATGATCTCTATCAGACAGGAGGCCCTGATCAGTTGGAGGAAGCAGGATATGATGTAACGTGCATTGGTCTTTTATCGGAAGATGAAGATCACATTAGAAAGATCAATGAATTTCAAGCTTACCTTGACATGGTAATTTCCAGCTACAAGTTCTCTCCATTTATGACTTTTTTCAAATTTCATTTGCCATGCTTCCCTCCACATGTATATATATTCATTTCTTTATTGCACGTCGGCGAGCTTAACCTGGAGCATGGTGTGTAACAGGTTATGAGGATGGTGAAGCCTGGTTGTTCACCAGAAGTGTTGAATGTGGCCTTGAACTCCATGTCCTCCCTCGCAGACATTCTAGCCTTTATGTCCTCACTTAAACTTCATTCTTCTCTTTGAAACAATATTAATGCTTCCCCATGCTCATGTCATACATTTGTAATATTCAATAGAAATTAATGGTTTTGCATGAACCAAATATTTTCTCCTTATGCATCAAAAAGATATTCTAATTATGAAAAAGATGCATGATTCGAATTTATGTTGGACTTGAGTCCTCATATTTTCAACTATAGGCACACTACAAATTATATGGGGTGTTTGGTTTGCTTTCTTGAGAAATGTTTCTCTTTAAGATTTTGTAAAGGTATTTTTAGTATTTATATACTTTAAAACTATAATGAATAAAGGATAAAAATAATGTCTTTAATTTTTATTTTTTATGATACAATTTTTAACTCGGAAATTTCTCTTCCTACTAAAAAGAAAAAAATTTCTCATAATTTTTCTTATATAAAACTTATTTAAGAATTTTTTTTAACTAATTTTTGTTTATATTTTTCTTATGTTAATTTTACAAAACATAACAAATTAAACAAATGAATAAAATTTTAACAAAATTTTATTACAAAATTTAATAACTTTCTATATAAAACTTTTTAACTATTGTAAAATTAGGCTTTAACCAAACACATCACTTGACTTTTTGGGTGCTTTTGGCGTTTGACAAAACATAGTGGGCTCAATTGTATAAAATTTTCACAAAAAAATGGATGCGTAAAGTCCTTAGAACTATAACAGGGCTGCAAAGAAAGCCCCAGATCGTATTTTAGAGGCGAACCGAAGGGGCATCACAGTAACTTCCTGGAAGCGAAGCATATTCGACTACTTTTTCAAGGTTTCTTCCAGTGCTCATCCAATTCAGGTTTGGTGGGCGATCCATTGGCAGACACAAAACACAAGACAACAAACAGGGCCCCTTTTTTATTACTTATTAATTTCCCGATTCCCATTTCCTTTAACAGGACGAACACGAGTAACCCAATTTCGGATTCTCCATCTGTTTTGCTCCATCTTTGGTTTCTCTAAATTCTGTCCGTTTCGTATTTTTTTTTCTGTATCTTTGTTGATTTCTACCTGATCCGATTCAATTTGCGATTATTGAGAGTAGTGTTTAACGGGATGATGGATCCTGAGTTGTTTAGAATCGCCCAGGAACAGATTAGTCGCATGTCTCCTGCTGAGTTAGCCAAGATCCAGCAACAGGTAAATTTTTTTAGTGGGATTATAATGGTGCTCATTTGTTTAGATGAGAACCTCAAAACCCATGTGGGATTTCGTAAAGGAAGCTGTTTTTTCAATAAAAGTTCGTGGCTTGTTTAGTGATCAATGTTCTTAGCTGAAGTTATGTGTTTATGTTGAATTTCATTTGATTTATAGCATATGCTGTAGTTTTGTTGTTTATGGTTGATTCTCTGGAATTTCAGATGATGTCTAACCCCGAGTTAATGAGAATGGCCTCGGAAAGCATGAACAACATGAGGCCCGAAGATTGGAGACATGCTGCAGAACAGTTGAAGCACACTCGTCCTGAGGAAATGGCTGAAATTGGAGAGAAAATGGCCAATGCATCACCTGAAGAGATAGCTGCTATGCGTGCCCGTGCTGATGCTCAGATGTCTTATGAATTTAATGCAGCTGAGATGTTGAAGGAACAGGTAATAATCACCATTCAGAATCAAGTTATTGTTAAGGATATTTTTCAATTAAAATCATTGTTATGTGAAACCATGATTAAGAAAAAAAAAAATACTTCAGTTGTTCGCTATCTTTACATTTTGTAGTTTCATGTCAACAAAGGGCTTAGTGGCTTATAATTTCTCTGCCCTTCCATTGAGAATCCATTAAATCTTTTGAGATATTTATAATTGGTTGGCATTTATAATGCGCAGCTTACATGGATTCAAATGTAAATTTGGCAGGGAAATGAACTTCACAAACAAGAGAGGTTCAGTGATGCCTTGCAGAAATATTTGCTTGTAAGCAAGCAGTTTACCTTTGATCAAAATTTCTTTTATACAAGATAAGTCCTCATGGTTGATCTGGATTTTTCTTTTCATAGTAATGAAAAATTTCTTTGCTTTTTATATTCCTAGGCAAAGCAAAACCTGAAAGGAATTTTGTCCTCCAAAGGTAGAGCACTTTCATTGGCATGCTCTCTTAACTTGATGTCTTGTTACTTGAAAACAAGGCAATATGACAAATGCATAGAAGAAGGCTCAGAGGTAAGATGCTTCTTCTTTTCCCATGGTATGATATGTCTTATCATAAACGATCACTTAGATAGTTATCCCATTGCCCTAGATAATATTGTGCAACAAATATAGTGTAATTGTATTCAGAAACAAGTAGAAAAGGATTAATAATCATACGAGTTTATATGTTAGGAATGACAAAGAGGACCCATGTTATATCTTTCCAATTGCACTTGTATGAGCAGTTGAATACTCTCTATATAAACTGACTGTCTAATGTTAAATCATTTCCTTTTTTCTTTCTATTGACCATTTGCATTCTTCTAAATGTCATATTTCTCCTATTTCAGGTTCTGGCATCTGATACAAAGAATGTAAAAGCTCTTTACCGACGTGGTCAAGCATATAAAGAAATAGGTCAATTGGAAGTAAGTTTCCCTACAAAAGCAGATGTACATACATAGAACACATGTATGCACACACACTACTTGCACACTTTTTTATTAGATTTCCAACTATGCCATCATTGCTAAACTGCCATTCTTGACAAACTTTTGAAATAAATTAGGCTGCTGTACAAGATCTGAGCAAGGCACATGAAGTTTCTCCTGATGAAACAATTGCTGCTGTCTTGAGGTATCAAATTATCTGAGTGTTTTCTGATAAAATGAGATATATTCTAGAGTGCAGTTGCATTCACATAAATTTTCACCTTCTGTGTTAATTATCTCGCCTCTAGGGACGACTACTGATTTTGTTTACCAATTGAGTTTGTTGCCCTCTTGATATATTTTAGTACATTTAAGAAATCAACTTCGATAATTTTGTAAAATTGTCTATTATGACTCTGGTGGCAAAGTAAAACTGAAGATGAGGCATTATGGGTATAACTTGGATATTGGTTAAGAGTGTCAGTTGTTGATGCAGGGATGCTAAGGAAAAACTGGCTACAGTAGGCAGTCATCAGGCCCCTGGAAGTAAGTTGTTTATCCTTGTTGCAGCATGTCTTTTTCCCTTTTATTCCTATCTATTACCTGCTTCGCTCAAACAAACGGGATATATGTGCTTAAGGTTAAATTTTTACTAACCACACCCTGTTGCCATTTAATAGAATTGATTATTGAAGAAATTACTGAAGAAGAAGAAGAAAATGTGTCTTCTGGGAACCATGAAAGTTCATCTAGACAATATTCAGTGAAACAACCACAGGAAAGTATGGGCTTCTCCAAGAACAAGAGTAGGACAAATGGTGGGGACTTAAAGACCAATTTGGAAGGTTTGGAAGCTATAAGAGATGATCCAGAAACTATCAGGTTCACATGCATCCATCACAATATCATTTGATGGGTGGTCTCTTTTAATATGACTAGAAGTATGCACAAAATTGTCTAAACATGCACATGGTAGTTACGTGATCATCATTAGCCCATGTTTGCTCCACTTTGATTTTGTTGTCATTATAATATGTATCAAGGAATTAAATGAAAATCAGTGATAAAATCTAGGTTTACAAAGTCTAAAATGCTCTATCCCCAACATCCATGTTGAGGGGAAGAGGTATTGATGATTAACCTGCAAGTCTTGGAGTTGATCCCTATACCCTGTCATTTGTCTTTTCACTCCATTAAACCATTTTCTTTTTATAGAATTAACAAAATTTTCAATATCTCATTTTCATTCTCATTATGATTCACAGATCATTCCAAAATTTCATTTCTAATGCTGATCCTGACACCCTTGCTGCCATGGGTGGTGGGAAAGCTGGAGAGGTATCACCCGACATGTTCAAAGCTGCCTCAAATATGATCAGCAAGATGTCATCCGATGATCTTCAAAAAATGCTTAAAATGGCATCATCATTTCAAGGGGAAAACCCATATAAAGGTGCCTCAGAAAATGGCTTTGGGCCTGGATCAGTTCCTCCAAATGTGACACCTGACATGATTAAAACTGCAACTGATATGATGAGTAAAATGCCACCAGAAGAGCTTCAGAAAATGTTTGAAATGTCATCCTCTTTGAAAGGGAAAGACTCCATTTCAGCTGCAGCAGCTGCAGTACACAATAGCAGGCAAAATTCAGATGCAAATTGCAGAGTGTCAGAACTTTGGAAAGATTCTGCTAGTAATAGGAATTATGACACTGGTGAAACCAGTTCTGGTTTTCTTCCAAATTCAATGAATGCTTCTCAGTCAAATTTCCCAGTACCAACGGCTGATTTACAAGAACAAATGAGTAACCAAATGAAAGACCCAGCAATGCGACAGGTATGAAAATGGGAGTCTGCTACTGTTACAAAAATGATTTTGTTAATTATTTTGCTTCTTGTGGCAATTTGAAGTTTGTGGCATTTTAAATGATTCATGCTGTTACCATGTTCAGGCTCTCAAAAGATAACCAACCTTATTCAATTATCTCTAATTGTGACCAACTGTACTGTAAAGATATCTCATGTTTCTTGTGGAAGTTTTGCATACTCCTGTAGCTAATGGAGTGATGTCTGTCCTGAATCTATTTGTTTCCCAAAATAAAATCTATATTACCTCACATTTGGGAACTTGAATGTTTCATTTCCTGTAAAATTTGCAGATGTTCACATCTATGATGAAAAATATGAGCCCAGACATGATGGCAAACATGAGTGAACAATTTGGACTGAAGCTTTCTCGGGAAGATGCTGCCAAAGCTCAACAAGCTATGTCATCTTTATCCCCAGAAGACTTGGATAGAATGGTACATTGTTTACTCTAGTTTATGTTTTTCCTAGTTACGTGATTCTATGCTTAAAAATCACAAAGCATCTGAGATCAGAAAGCCTCCGTCATTCAGCTGTGGTTCTTATTTTAGAAAAAAATGACTGGTCTGAGTTTGTTTCATCTTTGGCTTTATATTTTATTAAGAAAACATGTTTCCTTGAGGTAAACTGCCAGTATTGATTTCATCTAGACAAATCCATCCTCAGACTTGCATAGATTACTGAAAAAAACATTTTCACAGTTCTCACTGTCAAAAGGCATCTGATTTGGCTGTTTGTTATACTGATCTTGTATCTCATTGTCACATAATTGTTTTTTGTACTCCACCAAAATGATGTTTCCTGCTTAAATTTGTTGCAGATGCGTTGGGCTGATAGGATACAAACCGGAGTGAATCATGCACGGAAGGCAAAGAACTGGTTGCTTGGGAAACCTGGTATGATTCTGGCAATAATCATGCTCATCTTAGCTGTGATCCTCCACCGGTTGGGCTACGTCGGTAGTTAGAATGTCACTCATCCACATCTAACATGGTCCTAGCCATTAAGGTTTCAACTTCGAATTTATCTCACGTTGGGGTCAAAAAACTGGTGTCTTAATATGTGATTGCAGTGAGAGAATTGCAACTCAGGAAAATGTGTTTTACAGACTCAACAAAAGCTAGGCAACCAACCATTGATTAGTTAATGTGTCATCACTCAATGCCATGGCACTTCATTTGTACCTAGGAGATCAGAATGAAGAAGGATCTCAAAGAGGAGGTCCAAAATCAGAAGTCCACATGCCAAACTCATGCCATCTTCCATGGAGATTCAATGTTCATTACTGAATATATGTCAATTTCATGAACATAAGGTTTAGTGCCTAGATATTTTTGTTGTATTTACTCTTTAGATTTCAGTCAATTCAAAATTTGTTGATTATGACCGCAACTAAATGAACTAGATAAGTTCTCAATGTCATTTGCTCCTGTACTCACTCCTTCCCAGATATTTGTTTCCTTGAAATGATGGTGTCTTTTTTAATGATAGGTAAGAGAGTTATGATTTATTTATATATAAATCTTATATAAAATTTATATGTAATAAATTTTATATATTATACATATATAAAGTTTAATTATTTTTTTTATTTATTTTT